GGTGGAAGTGGACCGACCCGAGTCCCTGGGGTTTAAACTGCGTGAGTAGGTGTTTTTACTTCGGGATCGATCGCTTCCAATGTTGATTCTGCCTTCTTTGTATCGTTCATACAGCATGTTGTGGAGGTGTCGGCAGGCCGAGGTGGCGTGTCCTGTTCGTCCGTGAAATGAGCAATAGAGGTCGTGATTATCGTCCCTGTCGCTTGTGCTCCACTGATGCCTAGATTTCTCTGTGGTTGCTACGACAGCGTGAGAGGAGGGCTTGCTCTTACTCGCGGGCTCTTTTTCTTTCGAAGTGCTTGCTGTCTCCAAGCCGTGTTTCTTCGGTGTTTCGAAGATCAAACGCCGTCCTGTCGGCTCTGATCTTGCGGTTGTCGCGGCTGCGAAGGCGCTGAGTTGCTCGTCGTACTTGGCCTGCTGGGCCTGGAGGGTGTCTAGTTTGGACACCAAGTCTTGCGTGAGTGGCTGCATGGCGGCTTGTATAGCTGCTGCGAGGTCGGCGACCTGGAGGGGAGCTGGGGGTGCTCCTGCGGGTGGATTCGCAGTAGTGTGGTTCGTCTGTTCTCCTAGAGAGGGTGTCCCGGTGTGAGTAGTGTCATCGTGGATGAGATTGCTGTCGTTGACGGGGAGGCTCATCGCTTTGGCTTTCTTAATTGGTTTTGTAAGAATTTATTCTCCTAATCCCCACAGACGGCGCCAATTGTTGAACCAGAAAATCACCACTAGGGTTTGATTAACAGTTGTGGGTTTCGGAGAATAAGATCTTTTATTATTAGCAAGAAAGCGTAGCGATTACAAAGAAAAGGTATAACCGAGAGGTTATGCCGAAGTGAAAAGAAAGTTTGCGAAGTAAACTAGAAAGCGTTGGAGTCTTTGGTTTTAGCTCTGCTGCTCTCTAGATTGTATGAGTTGTTCTTTCTGGCTTCGGGACCTTTGTATTTATAGGAATGGGAGGTCGGTTGCTCCGACCTCCTTTTCCTTTTTTTCTTCTTGTATATTTCCGTATCTCAGATATGGAAATATCCTTTATTCTCCGAAAAGTAAGAAAATTCTCCTTTATCCTTCGGATTAATCCGATGTTTCCGGTCTTCAAATTATACCTTAAAAAACTTTTATAATTCTTAAATTCTCAATAAAAGAAAAAAACAATGCTAAAAAAAAACTGAAAATGAATTACACTAAAACTCAATTATAAAGCTTAAACAAAAGCTTATTTTATGGAGTCACCGTCTTCTCGGTTTCCAATCATTTCGCCTCTAACTCACCAGAAACAGAATCAGCCGTCACTAAACACAAATTTTACTTTTTAGTTAATGACAACCAAACTGATAGTATTCAATCAAACTTAAATAAGTGGAGCATAAACATTTGGAAATCCAAAAGACATAGCAATGAGGATGTCAAAAAAAAAGACATAGCGGTGAGCCACATATGGTATAAATAATACACAACTCTATCACAAATGAACTCTAATGTGTCTCATGCTTAAGATTGTTGTAAGCAACATAAAAATACAATCTCACAACTGTTTTGCATTTATATTTATAATGTGAATCGAGTAGACTGAGTCTCAATCATAGTATTGTTAGAACTGGAGAACGTCTTTCTCGCAAAATAAAACTTAAGGAGTGACTGGGTTTTCTTTCTTCTAGATTAAATTAATTTATATAATTGTAACTTTTTGATTTATAACAGATTTCAAGTTTCTAAAGCCGATATAAAGTTCCATATTGTTCATTATAATGCGATATTGTGGAAAAACTGAAGTAAAAACCTAACTAAGAACCGGTGATTAAAGACAGTTACTCACAATTTCTTAATTTTCATTTGCAAAAGTTCATGAAACATAAAACTGCTTTTTCAAATAACATATAACGATAAATTCCCATTCTTCACCAATATTGACAAATGATTGAGCTAGCTAAACTATCAAACAAATATTATATCAGTTATCAAAGAACTCAATAATAAAGAAGTTTATTATTAATTACCATTTTTTTCTTCGTTGAATATATGAAATAATTATAAAACATCTATGTACACATTGAATCATAAAAAAATTGATAAATAGAGAAATGCATACTATATGAAAATTAAAAAAAAAAATCCCAAAGTACAATATGAAACAAAATAGAGTAAGGATTGAGTTTTTCTTTTTAAAAGCATCAAGCGAAATGGAAGCTTATGCAAAAAGTTTTTGAAAGTATAAAAAAATACTCATGGTGCTTCACTAAAAAAATAGCATTATAACATAAGATGTCCAAATTTAGACAATAGATTTCTAATATAATATATAGTTCATGTGGATACTATTTATATAAACAAAAAATAACAAAAATATACATCAAATTATTATACAAAAAGGTCAAACTTTACCTTTCATATTTGCAAAAATATGCATTAACTCTGTAAAAAAAAGTTTAACTAAGCCAGAAGATACATTAATCTACCTTCAAATTATTATATAAATCACACACACACACACATATATATATATATATATATATATTTTGATATTTAATTCGCTCGACCATATCTAAAAATCACATGCAAATATACTACTATATAATTTATCACAATATTAAACACAAAATTAGTTGACAATCTTTTTATAAAACTATAATATAATTATATAATCTACGCGTAGCATGGGCAAAATACTAGTAGTTGAATTAAAACGTATCTTATTCTTGTTTTTTTTTGTGGGTGGGGGGGCTCTAGATTTCCTTGTTGTTGAATTTAATTTCGTAATTTTATTTTTATTACTTAAAAATATCAGTCTGAGTAGGTACAACATTAGCGTGTATATTTTTCATTGGTCAATTTAGTAAAGATTGATTCTACGTAAAAAGTAAAACATGTAAATAAATGACTATGTTTATGGAATTGAAAAGCATAAAAGAATATAGACAAACACACACTCATCTTCACCCTCAATTGATAAAACATGAATTTTAAAAATATCAAATTTAACACGATGAAACAATTGAAATCACAAGATGACCACTAAAATCTTTGTTAAATACTATGCAAAGCAAATATTTAGGTTCAAATTCAAATATAGTTCAATATTTAAAACACAGCAAAAAAATACAATTTCTTTTACAATCAAACATAAAAAAAAATATATTATTTATTCTTAGCGTGACTAACCTGCCCATCTTTTTTCTTGATGAGGGGAACTTGATAGAAAATATGGCACCAAGACTGCCCGAAAGGGGGTTGTGCAGTCTCATGTATCCATCAAATGCCAGCTAAAACATTGTTATTCTTCAGCAAAAATGGCAGCTGAGACATTATTTCTCTTCAGCAAATCGAGAGCAACATCAACTCAGCATGTCAATTTAGGGGTGACAAGAATATTTTATGTACAGATTATTGGTTTTCACTCTGTCAACCACCATATATTTAGCAGTTACTGAAATATCATCCCACACAAGATATATATAGAAGAAATTGTGACCGAAGAAAGGCAAACCATTTATGTATAGTTCATGAATATTCCATCGCATAAGTTAAAGAAAGGCTTATTCTTCTCATTCAGCTCATCTTGCCACTTAAGTTAAGATGGCCACGAACAGTGACACTGTCGTACCGGCAAAAAAACAGCATAGGATTTTTTAATAATTAAAAGCTCACACATATGCGTTACAATCAATAAAAAAAATATTCACATCACTCTGTAATTTATAAACCTACAGCCATAGTACCTCATTCCACTGCTTATGCTGGCTGCTTCCATCTACACTGGTTTGATAGAAAAGACTAATTCTCATTGAGGATAAACCTATCAAAAATCCAGTCAGGTTTGTCAAACTCATTGAATAAAACAAAAGAACCACCACACCAATGCAATTTAATAGCTATATAAACCAGCAATTCTGTAACATATTGCTTCAAGTAATTCATCTAGCTCAAATAAAAACTTGATGCAAGAGACGTTATCATACTACTATTCTTGTGAGCCAATGGGTCTTCTTACGAAGCTTGTGGATCATCGTGGTTGATTTAGGCCGTGATAGATGGAAGCCGATGGAGAGTCAAGGTACCAGCCACTCCTGCCGTTCATGCCAACAATGCGTCCTCCATTGACTGAGAAAGTGAAAGGTGTTCCTTGTTCAACTCCGTAAGGTCCATACACTTGTTTGTTGCTCTTGAAGGTCATTGAGCTGATCACAGGAGAGCCACAGTGAACTACCGAACAGTAGTAACCACTCACGCAAATTAGATACTCGTCTGGGTATTTCAGCTTTATCTGTAGTAACCACTGAAGGTCATTATTGTATTGATTCATTTTTGTATCTTATATAGTTTTATGACATGACATGATTCTCTTCTAACATACGGTTTATCCACCAAATATACATATACTCATTAGGACTGTAAGTTTTATAAAACTGTTCTTAAATTGCGCCTGGGGCAATGTGTAACAACTCGGGCCCGGCCCGTTTGAATAAGTTTAAATGGATTAATTTGGCTACATATGTCACTAAAGTGCACTTATCTTTTCGGTCACAGGTTCTGAGAGAACTCCACAGTTAAGGGTGCTTATGCTCGAGTAGAATTAGGATGGGTGACCTTTTGGGAAGTGATTCCCGAAACCGTGTGAGTGAGGCCAAAACACGGGGAAAGATCATGTGGTGATTGCAGAGTCAATAAATAAGTCGGTTGGACTCCGGGAAAAAATAATGCACATGCCGTCGAACAAGAGCGTGACCTACGAACCCGACGGAGGGATAGGTGACTCGCCGGTATGAGCGGTCGGGGGCGTTACACAATGGCGCAGCTTATGACGTAAAAAACAAACCTTTTTTTTAACATTACGACCTCATACATACGCTCGGGAGAGGAAATTGCTCACTAAAATTGTAACTTTTCTTCAAAACAAAGAAAATTGAAATTTTATTTGAAAGTTTACACACATTATTCTTTATGAAAATAAAGGAAGGATTATTCCAATCCGTAAGAAACAATATTTTAGAATTTGCAAATGATTCCATTCAAGACGATTTTGTATTGTGCACTTCATTCTCCAATGCTTCAACAAATTTATCAGCATAACCATTAATGAATCCAGGACTAACCAAGGTCTCCTTCAATTTCTTATGGTTCCTCTTCACTACCTTCCCAAGCTCACTATCTTTATCCATAACCGATTTAATTGCATCCCTCAAGCTCTCTTTAGAGAACCATCCAGAATCTTCTCTCTGCACTTTCACAGAGACCTCAAGTTCCTCGCTCAACAATCTTGTGGTGAGAACTTGATCACCCATAGTTGGAATAAACACAATCTGGCAATCACTAACCAGAGATTCCCACATTGAACCGGATCCACAATGGCTCACAAAGCAACCTACTGATTGATGAGACAAGATCAAAGGTTGTTCCACCCATCCCCCCCAAACAATCCCACGACCTTGAACACGTTCTTCAAACCCTTCTGGTAAGGCTTCCTGAATAGTTGATGAGCCTTTTGGCGGCTTAACCGCTACCAAAAACGGTAAACCAGTTAGCTCCATTCCTAAACAGAGTTCTTGAAACTGATCTTTTTCTAAAAAGAATTGAGTGCCAAACGCACAATAAACTGTCGAGCCTGATTCAAATCCATTCAACCAGTGATTCCATCGATCTTCTAGTGGTTTAGAACTCTTGTCTTGGAACATCGGGCCGCTCAAGAGAACTTTTCTCTGACAGTGTCTTTCGATAAAATTGCAGAACTTACCTTCGATCTCTTCACATGTTCTTATGGAAATCACATCACAGTTCTTGAGACCTGTGGTGATCCGAACAAATAGCTTTTGGTTGACATTAATGGAGAAAGAATAGAGGTTAGCGTCGTGTCCACGTAACGCCACTTTGGATGAAGGATAATCTGGTGGTTGGGGAAGCTTTAGTTCAGCACCAGGTGCAAGAGCCATAGCTAAACAAGCCGCAGATACGATCTGGTAACTCACACTCTTGATTTCAAACACTTTTGCTACTTCCGGAATCCACTCAACAAAATCGAAGAAAATTAGGTCTGGTTTTAAAGCACGAACCTTTGCTTCGATCTGACCACGTAAGAGATCCATGGAATAGGATAGGACTTTCCCAGACACGTTTGGGAGATCCGAGATGGTCTCAGCGCCAACAGGGAGACCTTCCACGGGAGGGAGAGTAAGAGTGTCGAAGACAATGCTGTCCGGGAACAAATTGAGAGGTTCGAGCTGTTTCTGAGCTTTCTTGGGAAGCAAGAAAGTGATCTTGTGACCTTTCTCAGCTAGTTTGTTGGCTAAATGAAGATACGGTATGAAATGACCAAAAGCATACACTGGGAACATAAAAGCATGAAACTTTGACCCCATTCCCTTCCCCCTCAAAATTGTTGAAAGCCAACAAGAAAGATTACAAGATTACAAGACTTCAAGAGAGTCAAAGGAGAGAAACTTTCGGGTTTTACTGTTATTTTTTCTCTCTCTAAGTTGAAAGAAGCAACAATGTTCTATGAGTGAGGTGCTTCTTCTCCCCTCATATGTATGTGTATGTGAAAATATATTTTAGGTTACGTATGTCTATCAGTGGGGGGTTTGGTGGGAATTAATCAGTGGATTTCATGTTTCACGTGGTTGCGTGATTTGCCCAGATTGCATGTGGGTTGTCTTTTGTCTTCATAGACAACTTGCTGATTAATTTATTTATGTAGTCTTCTATGACATGATTCTCTTCTATTTTTTTTTTTGTTTGTTTGTTTTGTTCTTTGGCATTTTCTCTGTGTCTCGCTTCAACACTCATCAAGACTATAGTTCACAAGGTGTGGGAGGAGGATCCTCCGCGATCACATGTCCGATGCTTAATACAACAAACTACATCGTGTGGGCCATGAGAATGAAGATCGCTCGCAAAGTTCACAAGGTGTGGGAGGTAATCGATTCAGGAACACATCCACCAGATAGCGAGAAGAATAACATGGCGATAACACTGCTGTTTCAATCAATACCCGAAGCGCTTATATTGCAAGTTGGTGAACTCGACACAGCACATAAGGTTTGGGAAGCAATTAAGACAAGACATGTTAGTGCAGAAAGAGTCAACGAAGCAAGACTACTAACCTTATTAGCTGAATTCGATCGCTTAAAGATGAAAGAATCCGAGAAGATCGATGACTTTGCTGTCAAGTTATCTGAGATATCGTCTAAATCAGCTGCCTTAGGAACTAATATCGAAGAATCAAAACTTGTGAAGAAGTTTCTTACAAGCCTTCCCCGAGGAAAATATATACACATCGCGGCATCTCTCGAACAAGTGTTAGACCTAAACACTACAAGTTTCGAAGACATAGTCGGTCGTATGAAGGCTATGAAGAACGAATATCTGAGGTTGAAGATGTTCAAGATGAACAAAGCAAACTTATGTACGCTAACTCAGAAACACAATCAAGCCAATCAAGTCAGGAAAGCAGTGGAGAGTATAAGGGCAGAGGACGAGGAGGACGATACATAGGAAGGGGTCGAGGACGCTCTACTGGTGGAAGAGATCACTCGAAAGTCATGTGTTTTCGATGTGATAAGTTTGGTCATTACGCCTCTGTTTGTCCGGACAGACTGCTTAAGTTACAAGAAGCATAATAAGACACGGACAATGAAGATACGGAGACAAACAACAGAGAAGAAAATATCTGGTATCTCGACAATGGGGCCAGTAATCACATGACTGGAGATATAAGATACTTCTCCAAGATTGATCGATCTGTAACCGGGAAGGTGAGATTTGGTGATGACTCCCAGATCGATATCAAAGGAAAAGGCATGATATCTTTCATTGATATGAATGGAGAACCAAGAGTGATGTCGGATGTTTACTTCATACCGAATTTGAAGAGTAACATCATCAGTCTTGGTCAAGCAACAGAATCTGGCTGTGACGTTAGGATGAGAGGAGAACGTCTAGTGATGAAGGATCCGAAAGGAAAGCTACTGGCTATCTCCAAAAGATCACAAAACCGGTTCTATAAAGTTCGTATGGGAATTAGAGACAACACGAGTCTACATCTAGCAACAACGAGTGAATCAAACAGATGGAATGCGAGGTTAGGACACATAAATTTGGAAACAATGAGATCGATGATGCAAAGGGAGCTAGTTCAAGATATCTCCAATATTAACATTGAGAAGAAAGTATGTGGGCCTTGTCTACTTGCTAAGAAAACCAGACAGGTGTTCCCTCAAGCAACCTCATACCGTGCAAGAAAGAAACTCGAGCTTGTACATGGGGACCTTTGCAGACCAATAATGCCAAGTACACATGCTGGTAAACGATATATCTTCGTTCTCATTGACGACTATTCCAGATATATGTGGACGATTTTGTTAAAGGAGAAGAGTGATGCCTTTGACAAATTCAAGAAATTCAAGTGTTTGGTAGAACAAGACTCAGGTGAAGGTATATAGACATTCAGAACTGATAGAGGAGGAGAGTTTCTTTCAGGAGAATTCAATTCTTTTTACGACAACAACGGTATAAAACGACATCTTACTGCCCCATACACACCTCAACAGAACGGAGTAGTTGAGAGACAGAACAGAACTTTGATGGAGATGACGAGAAGCATTATGAAGCACATGCGGATACCAAATTACCTATGGGGAGAAACAATGAGACACTCGACGTATCTCTTAAATCGTATAGCTACGAGAGCACTTGAGGACATCACTCCGTATGAAGGCTTTCACGGGAAAAGGCCAAACATTGGACACCTTCGGATCTTCGGATGCATATGTTATACGAATGTTGAAAAACCTCAGCTGAGAAAACTAGACGACAGATCTCGGATGCTCGTTCACTTAGGTACAGAACCTGGATCAAAATCGTATCGCTTATTTGATCCACAAACAAAGAAAATAATCGTGAGTAGAGATGTCGTGTTTGACGAAACAAAGGGCTGGAATTGGAACCACAACAACTCAACACAGGATTATGATGGAAGCTTTACCGTTGAGTTTGGAGAGTTTGGTAATCGCGGCATTCATGAGGCAGAAGAAGGTATGGACAACACAGATCATCACCACGAAAACGATGAGGCCAAAGAAAACAGGGTAGGAACTTCACCCGAAGACCCATCACTCTGTTTACGAGACGTCAAAACAGAGGATACAGAGACGTGCGACGAAACAGAGGAAACAGAGATTGGTGAATCAGTACAACCAGAGTTGCGAAGGATGCAAAGAGAGAGAGAGAAACCGGCGTGGCATAAAGACTATGTGATGCTCGCGGAAGAAGAAAGAAAGAAACACGACATGTTCGCGGAAGAGGAAGGAGAACGACTGCTACTATGTATAAACGATAAACCATATGACTTTTACGAAGCCATGGAATCGAAGGAATGGATGGATGCCTGTGAGGATGAAATCACATCTACCAAGAAGAATAATACTTGGAATCTCGTGGACCTACCGTATGGAGCAAAACCAATCGGGCTGAAGTGGGTTTTTAAACTCAAACGTAACTCGGACGGCAGTATTAACAAACACAAAGCTCGACTTGTAGCAAAGGGGTATGTGCAACGCTACGGAATCGACTTTGATGAGGTGTTTGCGCCTGTAGCCCGGATTGAAACAATACGACTTCTCATCAACCTCGCGGCAACAAATGGATGGGAGATACACCATTTAGATGTTAAGACAGCCTGTCTTCATGGCGAACTGAAGGAAGCTGTATATGTAACACAACCAGAAGGGTCTGAAGAAAAGGGAAGTGAGCACAAAGATTACAAACTAAATAAGGCCATATATGGTTTACGACAAGCACCAAGAGCATGGAACAACAAGCTCAATTAGATTCTCACGGAACTCAGGTTCAAAAAGTGCTCTAAGGAGCCCTCAGTCTATCGAAAGGTGGTAGAAGAAAGTCTTCTGGTCATAGAAGTATATGTTGATGATTTGTTTGTCACGGGATCAAACAAGGAAGTTATTGAGAAATTTAAAGGCGAGATGGCTTCCAAGTTTGAGATGAGCAATCTTGGAAGGTTGACATATTATCTTGGAATTGAGGTATGTCAATATAAAGGGGGAATAATGTTGAAACAAAAGCGCTATGCTCTGAAGATTTTGGAAGATGCAGGGATGAAAGAGTGTAACTTAGTTCACACGCCAATGGAGTCGGGTTTGAAGTTATCAAAATCAGCAGAAGAAAAGGACATTGATGCTACGATGTTCAGAAAGAATGTAGGATGCCTTCGATACTTACTTCACATATGACCAGATTTGAACTATTGCGTAGGAGTACTAAGCTGTTATATGCAGAATCCGAAAGAATCACATGGGTGTGCAATGAAATAGTGTTTGAGGTATCTGCATGGTATGACTACTCTTGGTCTGAAGTTCGATCGTTCACCTAAAAAGGTGTCAAGATTAATAGGATACAGTGACAGTAGTCACAATGTCGATCCTGATGATGGAAAAGTACAACTGGCCATATATTTGATATATCATGGTTTTTATGGTTTTTAACCATGATATAAGTCCTTTTTATTGAGTCTTTTTGGTCTTTTTAGAGTCCTAGAAGAGTCTTTGCAGGCTAAAGCATGTCTGGAGCGTAATTGGAGATATTGGAACCTTTTGGAGCATTCTGAGTTGAAGCCACGAAGTACCAAGCTCGAAGCAGAAAGTACTTACAATTGGTGACGATCGTCACCCCTTTGGTGACGCTCGTCACCCACCAAGGAAGGAGGTCGTGGCTATTTGTTAAAAGTATCAAGAAGAATTGCAGAATTGGCCCAGAAGTTTCCTTTATTTACATGAAGACCCCAGATCGTGTTTAGCCTCTATTTATTAGGTTTTTCAGCCATTGTTGGCAATTATCTTAGTTTTTGAGAATTCAGAGAGCTAGAGAGAGATTTTATTCAAAGCTTTTTGGGGAGACAAATCCTGTACTCTTTAGAGAAGATTTCGAACCCCCTTTGTTTTCTACTCTTTCTCTTAATGCAATTTTATTCAGTTATGTTTTGTGATCTCATAATCATGTCTGAGTAATCTGCTAGTTAAGTTAGGGTTTTTCAAAGGTTGATGAAAAGAGTGTAGAATCGCTATCTGTTAGGAATATCTCATGGTTTTTTCATCTCTGCTTGCTTTAAAATCGAATTTCTGAGACACATCATCTAGGAATCCGAAAATCATAGGTTGTTAAATATATGTGAGAGCATTATTCATAACCTGAACTAGTATTTGATGAGCAAAACAACTTAGTACAAAGAGATTTGGCTTAGGAGTTTTGTAAACAATTGAATCTGATCATTCCTGCATACTTAGGTTGTTAGGGTTTGCAAAGAGATTTGAAACTCTGTGATCTAGGTATAGATAACTTTTGCAATGAGAATTGATTAGTTATGCATTAGAGATTCATGTTTAAAAACGGTTCTTAATCATTCCTGATTTCCTGCATTCTACATTCTTGGATTCATACCTGCGAATTACCCTGGCTTAGCGCTTTTAGTCTTCCTTAACCTAGAACATACCATACCATCGTTTGCTTATTTCTAACTATTCATTCGCATTACATACATCATATTTTGCTTAGCTTAGTCCAAATCTATAATTGATAGTGTAGTTTGCATTACTCTCTTGGGATTTCGATACCCCTTATACTACATCTGCTTTTGCTGTGCACTTGCAGTAGTTTTTATTTGGGTAAAACCTGAGCCCTATCAATATTCTATCTCGGGGGAAGCCCGATCTCCTGGTGTTCGCAAAAACAAGAAACTGTAGCACTGTCTTCATGTGAAGCCGAGTTCATGGCAGGGACAGAAGCAGCAAGACAAGCGATTTGGCTTCAAGATTTGCTTAGTGAAGTCACTGGATTGCGGAGCGAGAAAGTCGTCATTCGAATTGACAATAAATCAGCGATTGCTCTTACCAAGAACCCGGTGTTCCATGGTCGGAGCAAGCACATACACACCAGATATCATTTTATAAGAGAATGTGTTGAAGAAGGGTTGATAGAAGTCGAACATGTTCCTGGAATTGAGCAAAGGGCGGACATCTTAACAAAAGCACTTGGGAGAATCAAGTTCAAAGAGATGAGAGATCTCATTGGTGTTCAAGACTTCAAAGACATTGACTTCAAGCTTAGGAGGGAAAATGTTGGATTAAGCTTGAAGAAAGCTTAAGACATAAGTGATTCTAAGTAGATAGAGATTATGAATATATTTAGGAGTTATCTAAATATAAATTAGATTCCTAATCTACTTTGGTTTTGGTCTTAATCTCTCTATATAAGGAGATGCCAATATGTGGCATAACTTATGAGTTTGAGATTGAGAGAACTTAAGTTTTGAGTTATTTTCTTAAGTTAATAAAGAGAGACATTCTTTATATCGTTCTTAAACTCAATATGTATTGACCTTGCAGGTTGATAAATCCTTAACGAATTAGAAATATCAAGAGATTGAAAAATAAGATGTTTAAAGGTTTTAGCGAAATAAACAGTTACATGACAATAAACAAGCTTCAAGTTTTTTTCTCTCTCTCTCCTCATTATCCTCTCCCTTCATCAAAAGTTCCGTTTGAGATCTGCAAATCGGCCGATGTGTGTGGGCTTTCACAGCCAGCATCGGTCAATTCCTTTGTTTTTTGGTTTCCTTTGTCCTTCTCTTGGTGTTGTTGTTTCGTTTTTCTGGTTTTTTGTGAGTTTTATTTCATTAGTAGATCTAGATCTGGTTTTCAGATTTGGTTTCTTAGCTTAGCTAGATGAGAGTTTCGGCTTCTTTTTTCCAAGGGTGGTGTTAGTCCTCTTGACTTGTAGTTTCTTCCCTGTTCTCGCTGGTGTTTGCTGGTGGCGCTTTCCGGTCCGTCTTTTTCCGATCTCGTCTATGTTTTCGGTTAGGTGGAGGGTTTGGCCTTGCTCCTTGTTCTTTTTGGCTTCTATCCAGGTGCTCTTATAGTCGTGTCCATGTCCGACTTCGCCGCATCCAGAAGTTTCTCTCGATCTATAGATCTGATCTTGTCGGGTTTTGAAGCTTTGGTTACTTTGTGATGGAGAGGTGGTCTCTCATCTTCTCGAGAGGAGGTTTTCCGTGCACTAGGTCTAGATGGTTCAGAAGATTTGCAGTTTCGAGTTTTGTCAACACCTTTTGGTTAGAAGTTGTTATATTTCATTAGGTTTGCTATCTCTTATGTTTTAGTCTGTTAAGCTTCCGGGGTGAATTTCTGTTGTTTTAGTCTAGTATTTCAAAGGTGTATCCTATTCTCGGGAAGGTTGTGGTTAGTATTCCACCCCTGTATTCGATCTCTGCTTTTCACCAATGTATTCCACCCCTGTATTCTCTCCTGATTGTATAATCTTAAAGAGATGACAAAAAAAAAAAGACAGTAAACAAGCTTAAGTTTTGACAATAAGTCTTGGCCTTTTCTTTTGTTAAATTCAAAGAGCAAGTACCATTATTCTACCTCTAATATATGCAGCTAATATATATCTTTACTATATTTATTATTACTTATTTATATATATGTGGCCTATTTACATATTTATATTTACAATATTTATTTTAACTTTTTGTAAGAATATTCTAAGATTGTGATCTAGTATTTTGAAAATCAAAGAAGGATTTAATTCTATCCAATTCTATTATATCAGTTGGTATTAAAGCCAAATTATCAAAACTTTTTTCTGTTGAAAATCTGTTAAAATTAGGCTATGATACGAACTGATGGAACGAAAGTTACTACAAATAGAATTAAAACAATTAACTCTAAAAATATCTAAAAATTAAGATTCATGATTACTCTTTACGCTAGTCTATTAAAACTATTTTTTATTAAAATATCAAAATTTAAATACAATATGAAACCTAACAACCTGTTTTCTATTTATAATAAATCATAAACTATAAAACTCTAGAATATTGTAAAAAATTCTAAAAATATATATTAAAATATAAATAATATGTAAATAATTTTAATATGCAAATAAGTAATAATAAAAATATTAAAAATATACTCTAGATATTCCGCTGCATCAATTAGAGATATTAAGAAAAGACTTGAAAGACCATTCCGATATATAGGTTATGCGAATTGTTAATCTCTACCTTTATTATTCCTTTGAATTCTCATTGTTTGAAATACTAAGAAAAAGCTAGAGATATGATTCAACCACATAAGCTTGGGAGATGCATTTTGTACTACTACTAAATGGTGATTTTTATTTTAAAGACAGTTTGAAACATTTATCTGTAAGTAAACACTAAAGATGTAAATAAAGGTCTTTAGAAATTACAAGGTATTCAATTTAAGACGATTTTGTGTTGGTGACTTCATTCTCCAGTGCTTCAACAAACTTATCAGCATAACCACTCAACAATCCAGGACTAACCAAAGTTTCTTGCAATTTCTTATGATTTCTCCTCACTAAATTTCCAATCTCACTATCTTTATCCATCACAGATTTAACCGCATCTCTCAAGCTCTCTTTAGAGAACCACCCGGAATCTTCTCTTTGCACCTTCACAGAGACCTCGAGTTCCTCAGCCAACATTCTCGTGGTCAATACCTTATCAGCCAATTGCGGAATATTCACAATCCGTAACCAAAGACTCCCACATGGTACCAAATCCACAGTGGTTCACAAAGCAACCTACTGATCGATGAGACAATATCGATGGTTGTTCTATCCATCTTCCCCAAACCATTCCACGCCCTTTCACCTCTTCGAACCCTTCTGGTAACGCTTCTTGAATAGTTGACGAGCCTCTCGGCGGCTTAACCGCTATTAAAAACGGTAAACCTGTAAGCTCCATTCCTAAACAGAGTTCTTGGAATTGGTCCTTCTCGAAAAGGAACTGGGTGCCAAACGCACAAAACACTACCAAGCCTGGTTCGAATCCATTCAGCCAATGGTTCCATCGATTTTCTAGTGCCTTGCCACTTTTCTCTTGCGGCTCAGGGAGCATCGGACCGGTTAAGAGAACTTTTCTCTGACATTCTCTTTCGATGAAACCAAGATATTTACTTTCGAGTTCCGCGCATGTTCTTATGGAAATTACATCGCAGTTCTTTAGACCTGTGGTGATCCGACCAAGAAGCCTTTGGTGGGAATTGGCGAAGAGAGAATAGAGGTTAGCGTCATGTCCACGTAACGCCATTTTCGAGGAAGGATAACCTGATGATTGGGGAAGCCCTAATTCAGCGCCGGGTGCAAGAGCCATAGCAACAAAAACTGCGGATACGATCTGGTAACTCACACTCTTGACTCCAAACTCTTTCGCCATTTCTGGAATCCAATAAACAAAATCGAAGAAGATTAGGTCTGGTTTTAAAGCACGAACCTTTGCTTCGATCTGATCGCGTAAGAGATCCATTGCATCAGATATAACTTTCCCAGCCGCGTTTGGGAGATCCGAGAGTGTCTCGGCGCCAGCATGGAGACCTTCCACAGGAGGGAGAGTAAGAGGGTCGAAGACAATGCTCTCTGGGAACAAACTGAGATGTTCGAGTTGTTTCTGAGCTTTCTTGGGAAGCAAGAAAGTGATCTTGTGACCTTTCTCAGCTAGTTTGTTTGCTAGATGAACATATGGAATCATGTGGCCAAAAGCAAACGTTGGGTACATAAAAGCATGAAACTTTGACCCCATTTCCTTAAGAGAGCAAAAAGAAGAAACCTTTTTTTGAATTTTTTTCCTTCTCAAATTAGAGAAGAAAGGGTTCTTCTTTTGCTTAAGATCGATGAATGAGATGGTTCTCCTTTGCTCAGTTCCTCTCTATACAGTTTTTTTTTTTTTTTTGTAACAACGTTTATCTCTATATTAAAGAACATGTTTTAGATTATTAGTATTTGGGATTTGTTGGGTTAGGTGGTAGTAATTATATTAATGGATTGCCCATGTGTTAGATGTCGTTGTGATCTAGATCTTGCTCGTGATTTTTGTCTTTTGGTGATAGTGTGACAAAGAAATCTCTAAAAACCGAATCAGTGTTTCAACTTGCAGTAAAAAATGTTATATTTGAAAGTAAACAACGTTATATATATATATATATATATATACAAACATAAAAGTATTCAAATTCAACACAATTTTGTATTGTGGACTTCATTCTCCAGTGCTTCTACAAACTTATCAGCATAACCACTCAACAATCCAGGACTAACCAAAGTTTCTTTCAACTTCTTATGATTCCTTTTCACTAATTTCCCAATCTCACTATCTTTATCCATCACAGAGTTAACCGCATCTCTCAAGCTCTCCTTCGAGAACCATCCAGAATCTTCTCTTTGCACTCTCACAGAGACTTGGAATTCTTCAGTCATCAATCTTGTGGTGAGAGCTTGATCAGCCAATAGTGGAATATACACAATCTGACAATCATTAACCAAAGACTCCCACATTGAACCAAACCCACATTGGTTCACAAAGCAACCTACTGATCCATGGGACAATATCAAAGGCTGTTCCAACCATCCTCCACAAACGGTTCCACGCCCTTTGACCCGCTCTTCGAACCCTTTTGGTAACGCTTCTTGAGTCGTTGATGAGCCTCTCGGCGGCATAGCCCTCACCAAAAACGGTAAACCGGTCAGCTCCAGTCCTAAACAGAGCTCTTGGAATTGATCTTTTTCGAGAAAGCAATGGGTTCCCAACGCACAATACACCACCGACCCTGGTTCGAATCCGTTCAACCAATTATTCCATTGATCTTCTAGTGGTTTGACTCTCTTTGCTTGCGGCTCAGGGAACATCGGACCGGTTAAGAGAACTTTTTTCTGGCATTGTGTTTCGATGAAACCGCATGATTTACCTTCAATCTCTGCGCATGTCCTGATGGAAATGATGTCGCAGTTCTTAAGGCATCTGGTGACCCGATCAAAAAACATTTGGCGGGTATTCACGAAGTGAGAATAGAGGTTAGCGTCATGTCCACGCAATGGCACTTTCGAAGAAGGATAACCTGGTGGAGGAAACCCTAATTCAGCGCCAGGAGCAAGAAACATAGCTACAAAAGCTGCGGATACGATCTGGTAACACACACTCTTGACTCCAAGGTTTTTAGCCATATCTGGAATCCAATCAACAAAATCGAAGAAGATTAGGTCTGGTTTCAAAGTACGAACCTTTACTTCGATCTGACCACGCAAAAGATCCATGGCATCGTATAGGATTAACTTAGACTCGCTTTGGAGATCCGAGGTTGTCTCTGCGCCAACAGGGAGACCATCGACATAAGGAACAGTAAGAGGGTCGAAGAGAATGCTGTCTGGGAACAAGTTGAGAGGTTGGAGTTGTTTCTGAGCTTTCTTGGGAAGCAAGAAAGTGACCTTATGACCTTTATCAGCTAGTTTGTTGGCTAGATGCATATACGGAATCATATGACCAAAGCCAAACCATGGGTACATAAAAGCATGAAACTTTGACTCCATTTCCTCAACAGACTTGTAAAAAGAAGAAAACTTTCGAGTATCTTTTTTTTTCTCGAATTATAGCAATATAAGGTTGCTTCTTTTGCTTTAGAAGTTCTATGATTGAGAGTTTGAGATGTGCTCCTCCTCTGCTTAGTTCATCTCTATATATCTATCGCTTAAAGAAGGTGTTTTAGTTCAAGTGCCATTATTAATTGGGATTAATTAGCTGGTTTAGGTGGTAATTAGTGTAATGCATGTGCCATGTGGTCATTTTTTCAGATTTGTCTTTTGTTGTTAGTATGAAATTCCCAAGCTACCCTTTTGATAAAACAGGCGACTTGAATGAATTCTTCTCATCTTCTTATTAGGAATCGAATAAATTGAATGAAATCGGAGTATCTAAAAGAACATAAACCCTTGTAACAGCCAATGGGGGTTTCAAGAAACGCCACGTGTAATATTCCTACTAGTTAATAACAATAACAAATTTTGTTTTCCCTGAAGACGGGCTAAATCAAATCCCTAAGATTTGGGCATGACTCACACTCACATCACCAGAGGAGGAGGAGCTACGAAATTCCCAGATAAAAATTGAAACTTTTCATCGGTAAAGATGTTGAATTGACAGTTTCAGAGAGCTCCAGTTTTGTTTCGTTCCTCAATCTCTATCTCTCAAGGAACTGAGAATCAGTCGTAGTAGAGCATCAGAGAAAATGGGGGTTTCGATGTTGGGTTCCTCTTGGAGTTTCCGATTATCCCCAAAGACGCCTCCTTCAAGAACACCAAATCTGACAGAAAGTGTTCCGATTTGTCTAAAAATGAGGCCTTGTCATCCATACCCTCCTCGACCGCTCAAGTGCAGGTCAATGTCTGAGGATTATGTGGAGAGAAGTAGCCCATTTGAGGTAAAATAATCTAAAAATCTCACCTTTGAATCTGTCAGAGATTTTCGGTAATTGCAATGTGCCCATCTTCTTGTTTACAAAGTAGTTTGATTTTCTTAGTCTTGCAATAGAATGTCATCATCATCAAAAGGGGAAAGAGTGAAACTTTTTTTCTCTCTGTATTGGTTTTTGCTAACTCCTTAGATAATTAGATTCATAAATTCTCACTCTATCTTGGAGAAGTCTTGGAGGGTATGTGAACTGATTCCTTTGAATTCTCATTGTTTTAAAGGTTAAGAAAGAGCTAGAGATTTGCTTCGACCTCATACATAGGCTCGGGAGAGGGATCTTGTACTTAGGTTCCGCAAGAATCCCACCAAACCATTCGCATTACCTGCAAGCACAAGAACTGAGCAGAGAGGTAAGTAAGACCCTTAACAGTTCCACAAGAACTTAGTTTATCATTTTGCAATATAGATTGTGTGTTTTATCAGGCAGCTATTCTTTTAGACTGTACTACATGGTCTGGAGCTGGACCAGGACTCATGGATGCTGTGACTAAAGGTGCTTTGGAAGCTGAGAAACCGGTCGGTGGCATCAAAATCGAAAAAGAAGCCGGTGAATGGACCGCATCGAAGTTTCACCCTTATCTCCCTCCTCAGAATTACCACACTTGCAGGTAAATATAGCCACACACCTCTTGTTTTACTGTAATTGCACAAGTGTGAGTGATCCCTAAAAATGTGGAACTAATAATGTTTTAGGTTTTTCTCGGCGAGAAAGCATGGTTTGGTGGATGCAGTGATGAGAAACAATGTTTCTGACAAGACGGCGGTAATTGCATTGCCAGGCGGCGTTGGCACGCTCGATGAGATGTTTGAGATTTTGGCATTGATTCAGCTCAAAAGGATTGGATCTGAATTGCCTGTTCCGTTCATTGTGATGAACTACGATTCTTTCTACACAAAGCTGTTTGAGTTCATTGAGAGTTGCGAAGACTTGGGAACTGTTTTCAAAGGAGAAGTGTCTGCACTGTGGAAGGTATGCAGCAATAACTCTGAAGCTTTAACATACTTAGCTGAATTCTATGAGTTGCCATAGGGTTCTACAAAACACGATAAAGAACTTAGAAAAACCGCTTGTGGATGATCTGTTTCTTGGCTCGTTGAAGCTTTGTGTGTAAGTGTATATAATACTAATCAGATTTCTCATTGTTATCAATTCCATCTTGTGTTTCTTCTCTTAGCTCTTTAGAGATTGATTGGTTTTTCCGTTTTCCACCAATCATAGAAACCGATCCGTACAGATACAATTGTTTAACAACCAAGCAAGGCCAAAACAAAGTTCTGATAAAAAAAAAAACAAAACAGAGCAATCAAGTTTGTGGTCCATAACTTCTTCCTTTTAGTGCCAAAAAGAAAAAGTTGCAAAATTTAAGATCTTTTTAAAGGTAAGTTTTGATAGAACCTTTAGAGCCGTTGTGGTATAAAAATTGAATACAGACAAAAGTAAAAACTTCTAAAAGAGAGGCGTCTAAAATCCGTGGATCGTGCCTACCTAGAAAAGTCTATTTCATACTCGTTTTTCGACGAACATTAAAATAATAATCGCAATTATTGTTCCTCCTCACTTTTCTAGTTCCACCTTCCTCTTCTCCTCCTTCTCCTCCTTCTCCTCCGTCGCAAAGCTCAAGACACAAAAAGATATCTGAGTGGGTTTCTTGAATAAACCTCAGCGCAATTTTCAAGAAGAAGAAAACAGAGAAAGCTTTCCTCTTTTGACCTTTCTTCTCCCAAGACTAAAGGTTTTTAACCAGAGCCTTAATTTCGTCTTTATTGAAATGAAAGTTTCGTCTTTATCTAACTTTTATCCTTAATTCTGGAACATTCGTTCTCGTCCCTTGGATTATGGGTTTTTTTTTGGTTCCTCGAGAAAGTTGATTGCTTTCTTGGAATCCGTCTATGACCTTTCTCTTTGTTGATTATAAGGGATGGCTCTGTGTTAACTGTTTTAGTAACTTAGTGAATTGATTAAGCACTCTTGATCATAATCAAGTTAATAGCTTTTGCTTCAGATCAGGTAATTTTTGTAAGGTTACTTATGTATTTGAGGAGTTTTTGAGTTTTGCTTCTAACTACATCATCTTAAAGTTCTATAATTTGCCAGAGATTTGATTAGATCGCTTCTGTTACGACAAATTTTGTTTCTTGTGATAGGGTTTGAGTTGGTGTCTTTTTGTTAGCTATGTAGAGACTTAAAACAAAACTCCAAAAGGTTTGATTTTTATGGATGAATCCAATTGAGCTGTTGCCTTTTATTGTTTGCAGATCCTGTTATGGAGTCTCCAAAATCTGTGGCTTCAACCTTCAATGGAATCCATTTGAATGGCAGTGGTGAAACCAGAACAAAGAAACCTGTCATGTCGTCTGATTCAGACGGTTTCATGGGTGTGCTTGAGGTTTTTGTTCACCAAGCTAGGGACATCCACAACATCTGCATCTATCACAAGCAAGATGTGTATGCTAAGCTTTGTCTCACAAGCGATCCGGACAACTCCTTGTCCACAAAAATCGTCAACGGCGGAGGGAGAAACCCTGTCTTCGACGATACCGTTCAGTTCGATGTGAAGAATGTGGATTGTTCGCTTAAGTGTGAGATATACATGATGAGCCGCGTGAGGAACTATCTTGAGGACCAGTTACTTGGATTCGCTCTTGTACCTTTGTCTGAAGTGATTGTGAGGAATGGGAAACTGGAGAAAGAGTTCTCGCTTTCGTCGACCGATTTGTTTCACTCTCCTGCAGGTTTTGTTGAGTTGTCTCTCGCGTACGCAGGAGATTCGCCTGAGGTGATGCACATTCCTGCGGTTCCAACAGTGGATGCAACCGAGTTGGCTCCTATAGAGTTTGATGAGATTGAGTTCTTGGACCCAAAGATTGTCTGTGAGAACAATCAGATGGTGTCTAGCTACTTTACCACCCCTTGTTCTGATTCCGGTGAATTTGGAAGCTCTGAAACCGGCTTTGTGGAAGTAAACAGCTTCCAGTCTGCAGTTGTTGACAATGTTGAAGAAGAAGCTCCAGCGAGCACTGTCTTGACAAACGGAATCTCTTCTCCATCAACTGCAGTAAGCTCGGGTTCCTCGGGCACTCATGATGATTTAAAGCTATCAAGCGAAGGAAACAACTCAGGTTCAGACGGAGAAGGGAAGAAACTAACGGACGCTCATGATGATTCAAAGCTATCAAGCGAAGAAAACAACTCAGGTTCAGACCAAGAAGTGAAGAAGCCAACAGATATCATCAAGAACGGCGATTTAGATAAGACGGATGATGAAGTGGTTGTGAAACCGATCCTGACAGTGAATGTTGAACAAGAGCAAAAGGTAGTGCAGCAAGATATTGTTGACATGTACACGAAAAGCTTGCAGCAGTTCACTGAATCACTGGCTAAGATGAAACTTCCTTTGGACATTGATAGCCCGACCCAATCGGAGAACTCAAGCTCCTCTCAGCAGACGCCAAAGAGCGCAAACTCCCGTGTTTACTATGGGAGTAGAGCCTTCTTCTGAGGCTCTGGTATCATCACAAGTTTGGAATCAGATGTAGTAAGTAGCGGAAAGTGTAATAAGTTAAAAGTAGACTATCTAAAATGTGTAACTGTCTCTCTTTGATGCCTCTAGCTTTTCTTGTTATCTTATCTGCAACTTTTCCAAATTAGTACTTAAGTTTCGAAATCTCCTCCCTCTTATTTAACAGATGTCTCAGACATAAAGACAACAAGTTCTCTAATGAACAGTACAGAGACAACAAGTTCTGTCACCAATTTCAGACATATGTCTGCAACTTCAACAGGACATATCAAACTCAACCATAAACTAAAGGATCTGCAGATTCAAAGCTAGTTAATGGATCAATTCGAGCAACAGGAGTGCATTTAAGTGGATGAGCCATGCTCAGGGTCATATCTCCAGTCTCTTCCATGTTAACCGTATCTCCATTGATACTCCAGTCAAAACACTGTACCATTGTTCCAATGGCTACTCCAACGAATATATAACCTAAGTTTGAACCAGGACATCCTCTTCTTCCGCTCCCGAAAGGAATGTAGTTCAAAGCTAACTGCTCTCTCATCTCTTCTTTCCCTTTTGAAGGGGAAACCATGAACCTCTCGGGCTGAAACTCGTCTGGGTCTTCCCATGAATTTGGATCTCTCATCACTGCATAAGAGTTAATGATCATCGTTGTGTTTTGTTGTATGTAAAACCCTCCTATCTTGCAACTCTCTGTTGCATTCCTCACCAAGATTGGCGAATGTGGGTGCAGTCTTAGCCCTTCCTTCACCACAGCCTGCAAATACGGCAGGTTTGAGAGATCTGTTTCTTGAACCAACCTCGATTTCCCGACAACAGATTCTATCTCTTCTCTCAATCTTTTAAGAATCTCAGGGTGGTTAATAAGTTCCGCCATTACCCACGATGTTGTTTGTGCTGAAGTATCAGTGCCTCCAAGGAAAAATTCCTATAACCAATGCACAATGTTAATAGATAAGAGACTATGAATGATCCTTATGCAGCCATTGAAGAACAAGAAGAGAAACTCCGAACATTACCACAAAAAGCGCTTTGATCTGGTTCCTGGAAATCTTAAACTCGGCGTTGTGGTCTGCACAAACTTCCAACAGAACATCCATCATGTCTCTGTCCTCTTTCTTGTTCGGATTCGCTTCATGCTCTTTAATAATCTTCTCCAGCAATTCATCGTATCTCTGAGAGACCTCCATGATTTCCTTCTCAAACAGCGAGATCCCGACCTTCTTGAGAATTCGACCAACCGTGCTAGCTATAAGGAACTTCCTGACCAAACTAAGTGATTTGGTCACCAAGCCTCTGACTTGCTCTGCTTCACCATTTTCCTCTGAACATTTCCTCCCCATTATCATCCTGCAAATGCTGTTATTCGTGAACTTCATCATCTCTTTACCAACATCAACAGCCTCATTATTTGCTGCCTTGTCAAACAACATAGCACGGAATGTCGTAAGTTCTTCCCCACGGATGAGCCGTGTCCGCTCGAGAGAATGAGACCCGAGAAGTTTTGTGACTAATAGTTTCTTCATGAACCTCCAGTAATCTCCATAAGGGGCTGAGACAAAGCCAAAAGATCCAAAAAGTAATGATTTTTCCATTATAGGAACCTCACGGTCACGGGTAGCAAAGTTCAGGCCTTGTGTCCTCAAAACTTCGTAGGCCATGGGGCCCGATGAGACTAGAACGATTGGGATATTAAAAGTACGAAGGTGAAGGAGAGGACCGTACTTTGAAGAGAGTTTTTGAAAGGATTTGTGACTTGGAACAGAGAGGAGAAGGTGAAGATGACCGATGACCGGTAGAGACGGTGGGCTAGGAGGTAGATCACAGTCTTGAAGTTGTGGCTCTTTCGGTTTCTTGAAGAAGAAAGAGAGGCAGAAGCGTAAGACGAGCCATAGGAGGATGAAGATGAAGCAGAGCTGAAAGTCAACGGTGATTGTTGCCATTGTTTTCCAAAAACTGCAGAGGCCAGAGAGGATTAAATGAAGCAGAAATAGTTTTATTATAGAAATACTCTCTAGATCAGATCTTTCCTTGAGATCCATTGTGATAAAAGTTAATAATTCAATAGTTTAATCTTCAAGGAACGTTATTCAAAGAGACACACCAGGTTTGACAAGATATAAAAATATTATTATAAATAACATGAGAAAATGTGTTAAAAGAGTTTCTTGGGCTAAAGAAAAGCAACATTAAAAACACTCGTTAACTACCAATCCAAAACATCTTTGATCTGTCCTGAATCATGAACCTGAATCTGAGCTTGAGCTTGAGATTGAGACTTATATGGAAGCTCACATCAGCTGAGAAAGAGCTACTGCAATCTGAGACCCGATGAGGGCATTGTTTTTCACAAGCGCAATGTCTGAAACTGTGTCAAGGAACTCAAGATTTACAATGCTGAGACAATGCTGTTTTTAAGCCACTGTAAGGGTTCGGATTTTGGACACAGATAAAAAATTTCTGAACTATTTAAAGTGTTTAAACATCGAAAGATTTTTGTAGAATATTAAAGAATAAGGGAACCTCTAGAGAAAGGATACTTGCTGCAAGTGACGTGCCTCCAGTTAACTCATTTACCCGTGCAAGTAAGAATGGAGTTTCTGCACTTCCAGTAACGTTTTGTTCCCTGGACAAAACCAAACTCAGATTTCAGACTGATAAAACACGAAAAGAAGTGAAGCCCTTGCAGTATCAGTATGTATAAAAAGATATTAGCTTCTTCGTATGACCTTGCTTCTGCAAGAGCACGCTGTGTTGCTGATTCGATAAGATTTCCGGCGGCTGAATGCTGTTTTGGGATTGGAACAGCAAATAGAATCCCCGCCGGACGGTTTAGCTTCATGTTTGCATCTGACAAAATCGGTTTTCTCAAGGTGGTAAGGGATCAAAGCGCATAGATACTTTACAAAAAAGAAAATTTTGAGACAAAGTCTACACTTGCCTATTACTCGAGCACAGTCTTCAGGGCTATTTACACGGGAAGGTGCCTAAAGAAGTCAATATATCCACATCAGAACTAAAAATATCTACGCAGAAGCAAGTGATTGAGTTCAGTGCTAATGGAAATTTTTGCACCTTACAACCGCTTTTTTCTGTGAAAAATGCCGGAAACTCATCGCTCTTGTATGCAGCTACATACACTTCTTGAGTCTCCTGCATTGTCAAGGAATAGCTCTTAAAAAAAAAATTAAATTCTTAAACTTTGACAGTTAAATATGCCTCTACAACAGAATATATACCAAATATTCAAGGGTCTTTGGAATATCAAGTATTGATTTAACGCCTGCTGATATCACTGCTATAGGAGTCCTTCCGAGTGCAGTGAGATCAGATGATATGTCCATAGCTGCATCACAAACACAATATATCTTGGCTTCAAAAGTGTTTTTCCACATCATCATCTAAACAGAGTTTCCAACCATGTAACTAGAAATTTGTTAAATGGACATGAAACTTACTGTGGTTGGCATGCCTATGCACACCTCCTATCCCGCCGGTTACAAAAACTTGGATGCCAACCTAAAACAACCAAGATTCTTTAGATGAAATGAGTATAAGATGATAGCAATATCACTAACGAGAGATGTATTAACAAGATCAGTTACCATTGAAGCGAAAAATAACGTTGCAGAGACTGTAGTTGCTCCATTTGCTCTTGTAGCCACCTGATGAGAAACATTTTAGGTATTATATGGACGAACAAAACAGTCTGCATTGATTCAAAGTAAATAACTTTTTGTCTATATATAAAAACCTAGTTGAGAGTAAGGTAGGTTAAAGAAGCACTGATGTACATTATGATGTTGATTGGATTGGATTGATGCAATTTGATTTTATGAACTAATGATAGTATATTTTTCTACATGACTCGAGTATGAAAACAAATCTTAAACTGATGAATAAACCAGTACTGATGAACATTATGATGGTGCAACAAGTAGAGAGAAACCAGAAGTGAGGAGCATAGAGTTTCAAGAAAATGACTCACGACATGTGCTATGTCCCTGCCTGCAGTCTTTTGGACACTTTTCCCCAGAGATGCAAGACGTTCTAGTTCTTCTTCGTTCAGTCCTGTTTTACTACAAATTAGCATCTCTAAAGAAAAGAAGAACCTCTACTGCTATCGATCTTTTACAAAAAAAAAAAGATTCTATAACCACGATCTAATATCTTGAAACCAAGTTTGTTTTTAGGTTACGTAAACCACCAAATGATAAACTCACCTATGCAAGGTACTCCGTTCAAGATAGCTATTGTTGCAGGGATTGCTCCATTGTCTCTCACAATCGACTCAACCTCTTTTGCTGTTTGCAGATTTTGAGGGTAAGGCATCCCTAAAAGTGACAAGTTAAGGATAAACAGTTGAAATCAGACAAAAGTCCAAGAACACTTCTGAAAACAATTTCAATCAGAAACCAGCAGATAACTAAGCACTCGGTTAGACAAAACAAACCATGGGAGATTATGGTTGACTCGAGAGCAACCACAGCGCGCCCATTGGATATGGCTTCAGACACTTCTGGAGATATCTTGATCAGACTCATGAGCTACTTCAAAACCAGTTGTAAGAGAAAGCAAATCAAGATTGGGGGAAAAAAAGACTACAAACGTTTAAACAAAGAAATTCATCAAGGTGGATCTTTTATTACAGGAACCTTGTTGTTTGCTTCAAGAGGTGAAAGATGATTCTGGAGGCTCGAGATTCTAGAAAGAGCAGAAGAAGAAGAAGAAGAAGCCATTTCTCTCTGACTGGACACTCTCGTTGGAGTTTCAAAATTCCAAATTCTCGATTAAACCAACGGAAAAACTCGCCCTTTCTGTGTTCTTCTTATTCTTTGCTGCCCAAACAGTGGTAACATATACTAATGCAATCAGATCTTTACTCAATATCTGCGATATATTCACCTAACTATGGTAGATATGATAATGATAAAAAAAAAAAAAATCATTAAAAAAAGCAAAAGTAACCTGTAACCAACAAGAACTCGTCGATAGTAATATTCCCAAATCCGATTTTTTCGCAAACAGAATCTGAAAGAGACGCACGAAATGAAGAAGATGAGGAGAAAAACTCAACTTAATTACTGTAACTCGCTCTCAAGTCTCACCGTTTTGACAAAACAAAACCAAAACAAACCAGAACTCAAAATATATAATTCGAAACCGGTTCGGTTCATGACGACGGATCGGTTCGCATGATTTATTTCGGTATTGTGAGAAACGTTGAGAGAGATCTAGCTTTTATCTGAGTGTTTGGGTCCGTTGGAAGCATACTCCCGCACCCGAAGGACCGACGATCCGATCGCAGTCGCCGGCATTCATCGCCGCCGCTTGCTTTTGTTGTTCCTCCTCGCTTTGCGCCTCCTTCTCTCTATCTTTTGCTCTCTATCAAACTCCGTAAGCTTTTCGATTCTCACTCTTAGATCATTGATAATTCTAATTGTTTCTGATCTATTGTAGAACTTTTTCCTCCTAAATTACTTGGGAGTTGGGACCCGGGATCTAATTGTTGCGTCGACTTGATCGTTGTGACGTAGAAACTCTATTTTTCTGGGATATTGTGCTCATTCGCACGAGAAACTGTCCCTGATCTTTGTCTTGCAGATTCTCCATTTCGAGTGATTTTGGTTTCGATCATACAAATTACAAGCCATGGATAAGTCGAGTGCTTTGGATTATATCAACCAGATGTTTCCAACAGGTGATTTTTTCTTCATGAGGCAGTAGCAGAACAGTCATACTCTTTTGTACATCGATTATGGTTTAGAGTTGTTCATAGTAAATCCAAATGATTATGAACTTTTGCTCCTTTGATCAGGACTTGTAGTACAGCTGCTTATTAACTGATAGTTTTTGCATATGTGACTGCATTATCATGAGTTTCAAATGGGTGTTTTCTCTTTACAGAAGCATCGCTATCTGGTGTTGAGCCACTTATGCAAAAGATTCATGGTGAGATTCGGCGTGTTGATGCTAGCATACTATCTGCTGTTCGTCAACAGGTGAGATTTTCTTCCTTCTTATTGGTCTCTTACTTCAGTTTATGTGAAAGTTACTCTGAGGCTATAGATATGTTTTGACTTTATAAAAGTTCCTAGCTCCTTTTTGTTTTTTTTTTGTAACTAATGTTGCATGAGACATTTGTGAGTCACTCGTTTCTGGATTTTCTTGTGAATGTGTACATTGAGTCAAGAATTACATTGTATGCACAAAGAAAAGCAATAGTTGTGCGTCTATGTTGTAAGAATAATTAGTGCTTCTGAGTCTTATTCTTGGGCTTCACAATTCAGAGTAACTCGGGAACTAAAGCTAAAGAAGATCTTGCTGATGCTACACGTGCTGTGGAGGTCAGTTTCTCTTTTCGGTTGATATGTATTGTATCCATATTTCCGCACTGTTAGTGTTTCATTTTCTTTCGTTTCTCCTGTCATTTCCTAATTCATTCGTAAGGGAATTTGATTTTTTTTTTTCGATTTAACACAGGAACTCTCATATAAGATTCAAGAGATAAAATCCAAAGCTGAGCAAAGTGAAGCAATGGTCCAAGAAATATGCCGGGACATTAAGAAGTTGGATTTTGCAAAGAAGAACATAACCACGACGATCACTGCCCTTCATCGGCTCACAATGTTAGGTCAGTTGGCAGTAATTTACTCTGTATATTTAGTTCATTGTTTTCACCTTATCTGGCCATGGTATCCTGAAATCAGAGTGATAGCCCAAGTGTAACGTAGTCTTATATAAATAGGGTTCCAAGGAGGGAAACATCAAACAAGTGACTTCATGTTGTTGTTTAACTTATTCGTGGATCTATTTTAATCTTTATATGGTAGACATATAACTTTCCTTGACCGTAGTTTAAGTTGACCAAGTACACTATGCATAAGATCGTTAATGAAATTCGCTACCTTGCTATGGCAGTTTCTGCTGTTGAACAGCTTCAGGTGATGGCGTCAAAAAGACAATACAAGGAGGCAGCTGCACAGCTTGAGGTACCTTTTTTAAAAATTCAATAATCTTTTGTATTTCTAAGAGAGGTCTTTGTCATTTTGAAAATTCATTTGAACCCTAGGCTACCTAGCTCTAGCTGTATTCTAAGCAGATGTTTAATCGGGTTTCTTGATTATGTGCTTAAGGTTCTGATTTTATAATATCTTTCAGGCCGTAAACCAATTATGTAATCACTTCGAAGCATACAGGGATGTTCCTAAAATCACAGAGCTCAGGGAAAAGCTTAATAATATAAAACAAATCCTTAAGTCCCATGTATTTTCTGACTTTTCCAGGTAATGCCTTTAGTGTGATTCTGCCATTTTTTATATACTAAAATAAGTTCAAAGAAGTTGCCAAAAGAGGTCCACTGTAATGCTAGTGGTTAATCTTGCTTCTCTTTCTCAATTTCTTTTTCTCCAATCTCTAGAAGATTACAGCTCGAAAGGTTTTTTTCGTAGAATTTAAGTTGTATCAGGTGATAAACCTTGAGATTTTGGTTTTATAATAGTTGTTTGCTGGCATGCTCGCTTGTTAGAATGGTACCTGCATAGTTATTTAGGTTATTTTCTGCTTTTTTTTGGTACTAAACCGTAAATTGTTTTAAGATGTTTTTAGTTTTTTCCTTCTCTCATCCTCCACATTCCCCCTTCCTAAATCTGTTAGATGCCTAAACACTACTTTTCCCAAAAATGGCTACTGTTGTGATCTCAGTTTAGGTACTGGGAAAGAGACAGAGGAAACAAATTTGCTACAGCAGTTGTCTGATTCGTGTTTGGTTGTTAATGCTCTGGAGCCATCTGTGAGGGAAGAGTTGGTAAACAACTTTTGCAGCCGCGAGCTAACCTCATATGAACAAATCTTTGAAGGAGCTGGTATGTTGGCCTTAATGCCCTAAGTATAACTGGCACTGAAAGTGCAATTTTTATGTTTTCCTGGATTTACTTTCTAAGAGGTTAATTGTTTTCAGAATTGGCAAAGTTGGATAAAACAGAGCGGAGATATGCTTGGATAAAGCGTCGAATCCGTACGAATGAAGAAATTTGGAAGATTTTTCCTGCTTCTTGGCATGTGCCTTATAGACTATGCATCCAGTTCTGCAAGAAAACAAGGTATTGCCTCTTGATTTTTTCGATTAACATATTTGTCTTGCCTCCCCTTGATTATTGTAGTTTTCATATATACATCTCAAAAAAAATCTTTATCAGTTCTCAAAAAAATTAAGGGCACAGTATCCCTACTATTCTGACCTAGATATTTGACTTGTACGTTTGTTGTTGGGACATGGCTACGTAACACCCCTACTCTTCGGCGGTATTATTTAAAATTTGATATAGAGTAGAAAATTTGTATACATAAATTTCACGCTTTTTATAAACCTTTTAAGTTTTTGGGAATGGTTAGAATCAAATGCATGATTTATGATATCGACTATAGTCTTTTTAGATAAGCATTAAAAGTTAAGTCTTAAAAACCACAATTTTGGTTTTGTTTCACAGAATTGTTTAAGTTTCTCTCTCTAATTTCTGCTTCAATATATAGAAGATTACTTTTTTTGTTGGTGTGTGTATCTTTTACTGGTTTGTAGTCACTTTGGTGTTGAAAATTAAGTCGTAGTATTAGCTGTTAATCTGCAGCCTTCTTAAGTGACTTGTTTTCCCATCATCTTTTCAGGAAGCAAGTAGAATCTATTCTAGTCAACATGAAAGAGAAACCAGAAGTAGCGACATTACTCCTGGTCAGGCATGCTCTCTCTGATCAGTAGTAGCATAAGCAAGCTTTTCCTATAACAAAAATTTCATTATAATTTATCAGACGGATTGTATTTCTATAAGAGCGTTGCTCACCTCTGAAGGAATTATCTGATGAATATCCTTTTACCTTTCATGAAATTCTGTTACTTTTGATATTTTGTGGAATGTTTCAGGCCTCTATTAAAGTTTGATGTCATTGACTGATTAGGCACTACAAAGGACCGTAGAGTTTGAAGTAGAACTTGAAAAGAAATTTGGTGGTGATGTTCCTACTAGAGATATCGGAGATGACATTGAAGAAATTGGTACATGGGAAAACAATAGTCAGAATATATCCAAAATTCGCAAGAAGTATGAAAAGAAATTTGCTGCTAGTCAAGAATCCGGGGAAAATGTATGTTCTATGTTCTTAGTATGTATTATGGAATGTATGTTCTATGTTCTTTGTGTGTATTATGGAATACACTCTAGTGATTTTCTTATTGTCGCTTAAAAGTTTATTCTGATAGTGTTTGTTGCCTCTGCTTCAACAGGAAAAGACTGGAAACAAAGATTTATCTGTTCCTGGAGCTGGGGTATATTTCCTACTTCTAGTTATCGCCTTCCCTGATTTTTGCTGTTGTCATTACTATAGAGAGCAAGTGAAAGTGGCTTAAATCTTAATAATAGGCACAATATTGCATTCATAGAACTTTCATCGTCAATTCGAGCTTCCATACCTGGGAAACTGAATGACATATAATCCACTTGAGCCATTCTATCATTTGAAGGATTTCTTTACTCACTAGTTTTAACTGGCAGTTCAACTTCCGTGGAATTATCTCTTCTTGCTTTGAACCTCATTTAACCCCATATATTGAGTTGGAAGAGAAGACACTTATGGAACACCTGGAGAAAGTTGTTCAGGTTATTTAATTTTCACGTATTGAGTTTGTTTTTGTTCCAAGGTTTGTCAGGTTTTCCTAAAAAAATTTCTTCCTATCAGGAGGAAACATGGGATGTTGAAGATGGAAGTCAAAATAATGTTTTATCTAGCAGCACACAGGTGAGTACTTAGGCAAGCATTTTTCAAGAAGGGTTATCATAGTTAACTTTCACAGAAATTTACATCTTTTTAATTTGCATGGGTAGTTGGATTCTTTATATAGATTTGTAAAGGAACTCTCTCCTTGAAACAAAAAACCTACAACTCGGTCATTACCCACTGAGCTGGATAGAATTTCTGATCATGTCCAGGGGATGTTTGTTGTCGTAGTAGGAAAAGTTTTCTTTGTGAAACCGGATATTATACTCAAGATGAACTCCTAAAAGTATCTTCTGTGCATAGTGACTATTGATATCACTAGATTAGCAGAGTGACTATTATACT